ATTCTGTCCCTCTACTCTGCTCTCGTGAGACCCAACCTGGAGAGCTGCATCTGGTTCTGGGGCCCCCAACACAAGAGGACATTGAGCTGTTGGAGTGGGTCCAAAGGAGGGCCACAAAGATTATCAGAGGACTGGAGCACCTCCTCTACGAGGATAGGCTGAGAAAGCTGAGGATCTTCAGCCTACAGAAGAGAAGGCTCCTGGGGGACATTATAGTGGCCGTCCAGTACCTGAAGGAGGCCTACAGGAAAGCTGGGGAGGGACTTTTCATAAGGGCACATAGCAACAAGATGAAGGGAAATGGCTTTAAGCTGGAGGAGGGTAGATTTAGACTAGATATTAGGAGCCTTCTTCTTCTTAAGGTTTGTTTTTTTGTTGTTTTTTTTTTTCAAATATCACACTCAATTCTTATTTTCCTTGGAAGAAGAAGTGTGAAAACTCAGCAACTGCAAACCAGCAGTGAAGATGGAGAGGATAAAGACTGTTTTGAACACTTCACCTCTGGCTTTCTTCTTTATCATCACCTATGCTAATGTTAAATGAGAGCGTGATGTCTATGAGAAATTAAAAACTAAGTAAATATTTTAATCATTTTAGTAAAAATCCTTTTAATACTAAGAACTTTTTGGTGTGGCAAACTCTTCCTAAGGGCTGTCTGACTTGCAATCCCAAGCAATACACCCAGCTCAGCTACAGCTTTAGACTTCTGGCTGGTGGGTTGATATTGTCTTGGACAGATTGTGTTTTATTATGGTGCACTGAGACAGACTTACTTCTCCGTAGTTGGGATTTACTGTTTAATCCTGGAAAAACTTTGCTATCTCTGGTAACAAAAGATATGGTTTCTGCAGAGAAATATCTGCTTTAAAAATGAATCTTTTCAAAGACAAACAACGTTATTTAGGTATTTTGTATTTCCTTTTAAATATAAGTGCTGTACGTAGCTCTTATCATTCTGAATCACAAAGGTAAGATAAATCTTTCTAAAGCATGAAAATATATATATGGATTTTGGCACAGTCAGATTCCTAAAAAGGAGTTGGTATTTAAGAATCACTGTGTTTGTGTTTTACAAAAATCCTGTAATAGCAATGTTTACTGCTTCGAGACATTTTCCCTGATGCTAGCTGAGCTTTGTTAGTGCCAACATCATTAAAGGCTTGTGTTTATTTAGATGTTTTTCCCAAGAAGAGGATTTAGAAGGTCCTCACTGGATCATCCATTAACAGCCATCGACAGCCTCCCACAAATGAGGTACTCTTCAGCAGCTGTAAAGCTGCTAGGGTAAAAGGCCAGCTTCAACTTTATCCAAACTGTGAATCTGGAACACAGGTTCTACCTGAATCCTGAATTCAGGATCCATCCAAAGCTGAAACACAGATAGAGAAGAGTGGCCTTGCAGGAAAGCTGCTGAACTGCCCATGCCTTCCCAAAGAGTCTGGTTTTCTCATGTCTCTATCCCATTCTTAGCGTGGTTCTCACAAGGTTTGACCTGAGACAACTCAACTCAGGGACCTGGCAGAAAATTACTCTTTCTGAATTGTTTTGTTTAGGAGTGCTTTTCTGCCACCTTGGCAAGCAGCACTGGTTGTGGATAAACCTGAGGTGTGCCAACGCAAGTGCAGGAAAGGTGTGGGGGAACAGACGGAACAAGTTGCTGGATCAGCTCAAGCTGTGACATGTACCTTTGCCCTTACATCTGCTTTGAGGATGACATAATATAATGGTGCTGACAAAGGAGCTTGAGCAGATCTTGGAGTAGTAGTTGAGGGAGACATCGCAACACACAAGCTGCCATGCCTTCCGCCAGAAGTCACTGGTGACAGAAGACAGGTGTGGGTGCAATGCTTTAGCTGCTGCAGGGCAGAACAAAGCCCCGTGTGGTGAGGTATGAAAATCTCATTTTTCAGTTTCTAACTGACATTAAGAATACTATTCTCCTTTCTCCCACTGAGGCTTCGGCAATTCAGCTCTTGGTACTGAAACAGTTTGGCTTCCAGAGAGGAAGAATCTGAAAACATCGTCTTTAAAACTCTCTGCTCTAAAGAAATATGCATCCATAAACTCCCAGCAATAAATATATCACTGTGTAACAAGGTGTCCAGGCTTCACTGACATTTACCAATTGTTCCTGTCCTTTAAAACACATCTCCCCAGAATCACCCTGCCTGTGTGGTGCTGCCCTCCTTCTGTCTGTGCACTCCCTCAGTATATAATCTGGAGGCAGGTGCAGGGGGTGGAGGCACACATTGCAGAGGTGCAGAGGGGTTTTGGAAATAAGCTTCTAGAACGGAATCTAAGTAAACACAGAGATAATTTTGGAGGGGAATATATAAGTTTCCACAGCATAGGAGTGAATAATATATTACATGGCAGAGGGATAGCTCATATATAATTGAAAGATGTATGGTATTTAATTAAAATGTGGTGATGCCCACATGCCTGTGATACATGCACTGCAAACAACCCTTGTATTTGTCCACAGGTGCAAGTGACACCATGAGGTGCCTAAGTACACACCTGATTCATGCTTTTATTGATGACCTGTGCAGCATTGTTACAGAATATGCTGTGCCTTACCCTACCTTTGTCTGGAGACTGTGGAGCAGATCTAAAAGTGCTCAGGATGGTCACTGCCTGGTCTCACTCTGGCTCTGCTGTTCCTCTTGTCAGGGAGAGAATAGTGGGGACTTCTTTGCTTCCTGCCTTGGCAAGCCCCTGGCTTAGCTTGGGAGCTACTGCAGTCATAGTCCAGCATCTTTCCAGTGTTCTTGTCACTTGTTTCTCCCTGTGGTTTATCTTCATGTGGAAAATTAATGGCTTGGCTGTCACTGTGCTTTGAGTGCTATTTCAGGCTTTAGGGTGTAGGAAGAATCAAGCCATTCTTCAAGAACATAAGCATGCTGCCCACCAGAAACGCAATGCTGGTGAAAAAACACAGATTTTGTCACATCACAAGTTTGACGCGACAAAACAGTATGAATGCAACAATGCAACAAGAATGTTTCCTACATGTCCAAATTGGCATTTTGTAGCTGAATTAATCTTGCAGCACTTGCTGATTGCCATAGCTGTGTGTTGCTTATCATGCCTGGCTGATTTTTCAGATAAGCATTTAGGGAATCAGAGTTTTATCATACTAATTATAACCACACTTTAACATGGGCACCTAAATTGAGCCAAGTCCTTGGATAACCCACAGCTCATTGCATGTGATTATATCTGATAGTAATACCTTGCATTGGTCCTAGGCAGAAGTGTCAGGGAATATCACCAGTGGAACAGAGGTGTTCTTGGTGTTAGGCATGGGGATGCAAGGAGGGCAGGCATGGGATACACCCACTTGCTCAAGCCTCAGGCACAGGCTGTCTGTGGTCCCAGCAGGCAGTCTTGCACCTGAGTCACAGTAATCCCCACTATCACTACAAGCTGGGGAGTGAAAGGATAGAGTGCAGCCCTGCCAAAAAAGACTCAAGGAGGCTGGTAGATGGCAAACTGGACGTGAGCCAGCATTGTGCACTTGTGGCCCAGGATGCCAACGGTGTCCTGGGCTACATCAAAGGAAGCATCATCAGCAGGTACTCTGCTCTGGTGAGACTTCACCTGGAGTACTGCATCCAGTACTTCCATGCCAGTACATGGCATCCTCAGTTCTGGGGAGACATGGACCTGTTGGAGCATGTCCAGAAGAGGGCCACAAAAATGATCCAAAGGATGGAACACCTTTCCTACAAGGGCAGGCTGAGAGAGCTGGGGCTGTTCAGCCTGGTGAAGACAAGGCTCCAGGGAGACCTGAGAGCAGCCTTCCAATATCTAAAGGGGGGTGATAAGAAGGAAGGGGACAAACTCTCTAGTGGGGTCTGTTATGATCGGACAAAGGGAAATGGATTCAAACTAAAAGCGGAGGTATTTAGATTGCATATAAGGAAGAAATTTTTTATGATAACGGTGGTACAGTACTGGGAACAGATTGCCCAGAGATGTGGTGAACATGTGGTCCCTGGAGGCATTCAGGGTCTGTCTGGACTGGGCTCTAAGCAACTTGATCTAGCTTTAGCTGTTTCTGTTCATAGCAGGACCAAACATACCTTTAAAGGTCCCTACCAACTCAAAAAATTCTGTGGTTCTATGATCCCAGACCTGATGGTGAGGGAAGAATGCCCTGCCTAGATGTGGCTTTTGGGGTGAAACTGGACAGGTTCTGGCTTCTGGAGGGCAGCAGAAGTGAAGCTGATCCCCGTGATAGTACCACACACAGAAACAGTCACGGTCACAGCCACGGCCACAGGCGTCTTACTGGGAAGATGGCTCTGTGGGACACCGAGTGGGGTGCTGATGGCCTTGGTAGTTGAGGGAAGAGCAACGCGGCTCTGAGCGGCCGTACTTAATTGACCCCGGTGTACCGAGAGCGCAGCCCGGCCGCCGTCTGCTTTTTGCTCTGACTGAACTGAACGTGAAGCTCAGCAGCGACGGGCTGCCTCGTGTGGCTCTGGCGGTACAGCGGGGTGCTGGCAGCCCAGCCCAGGGGCTGTCTTTGTCAACAGCGCCAGCAATGCAACAAGCCTTGGGGGGTGAATAATTAGGGGAAGAGCTGTTTTATTATATAAATCTGTCACGAAATGTTGTGTTCTTTGCCCTGAGAAGCTGCCCTGATGCCCCATGAAATTTTTTCGTCCGTTGTTGAGACTGCTCTTGCAGCGGCTTCGGGAGAGGAATCGAAGCGGCAGCAGCAGAAGGCCCGTGGACATGCCGGACTCGCTCGTAGCCGCGCCGCGCCGCCGACATGCCGGCGGAGAATTCCTCAATGGCGCTGGCCCCGCCCCCTCCTCGCAGGGGCTGTGCCGGCTGCCCGCAGGCCACGCCCGCCCGCTCGCACGTGTGGAAATGCTCGCTGCTTGTTCCCCTCGGGCAGGCCCCGCCCCCGAGCGCCTATTGGCTGCAGTGGATGCAGGGGGCGCGGTGGAGGCGTGGCTCTCCGTGCCGGGCGGGCTCCACCCACGTGCGGCGGCGCGGCGGGAGCGGGCGGACTGCGAGCACACATCCCGCACGTAGCCCGCGTATTAATCAGCGCGGGACCATCTGCCGCCCGCTCCTTAAAGCGCTGGGGGTTGCGGGCGTCGTGAGAGTGCGGTTCGGTGTTGTGCGGTAACAGCGATATCAGCGCAGGGCTCCGATAGCAGCGTCGTCCCTGAGGTGCGGGTCTGAGCAGAGGCGCACAGCTGTGCGCACCCCGTCCGGGCGTCTGCAAAGTTTGGTCCCGTTCCGGAGTCCTGTCCCGGCCTGGAGCCGGCGGGCATCACTTATCAAGGCGGGTGCCTGCAGGGCAGCGGCGCGCCCGTCCCCGCCGCACCATGCCGCTGGGGCACATCATGCGGCTGGACCTGGAGAGGCTCGCCCTGGAGTACGTTGTGCCTTGTCTGCACGACATCGGCTTCTGCTACCTGGACAACTTCCTGGGGGAGGTGGTGGGCGACTGCGTGCTGGAGCGGGTGAAGCGCATGCACCGTGACGGTGAGCTGGCCGACGGGCAGCTGGCTGGCCCCAGCCGCGGTGTCGCTAAGAGGCATCTCCGCGGCGACCAGATCAAGTGGATCGGGGGCACGGAGGAAGGCTGCGAGGCTATCAACTTCCTTCTCACGCTGATCGACCGCCTGGTGATGTACTGCGGCAGCCGGCTCGGCAAGTACTACGTAAAGGAGCGCTCTAAGGTAAGTGGAGCTGCTCGCGGCTGCGAGAGGTTCCCTGCTCCCGGCCCGGGGACGCTCCGTCGGGCTGATCCCGCGGCGCCGCTCCGGGCGGCACCGGGAACGCTGTCCTGGTGACACCCGCGGCGGGAGGGGAGCACGGACGGCTTCCCGGAGAGGGGTCCCGCGGAGGGCTGCCCTGTGCCTCGTCCCTGGTACCGCTCCCTCGTCCGTTGATGGCGTTGTGCTGTGTCCCATCGGCACCTCACTTCCCAGCTGCGGGGACCGTCACTGCCGTGCTGGGAGTACCCTGCCAGAACAGCCTTGCTGTGAGCTTGACTGTTCTTCAGGGACTTGGTCCAGGTTGACGGAGAGCCCTTCCGTACGCGGCTGGATCGGGCTGCTGGGCTACTCGCGGCCGTGCGGCAGGGTAGTCCTAGCTAGTTTCAGTGTTCGTGCCAGTGTCCTACAGCTGAAGAGGCTATCACTGCACCCGCTGGGATTTGGCACAAAGTAAGAGATTCTCTGTCTTAGTGTGGCAAACTTTTTGTTTTGGTAGGAGAGAGTCTATATTTTGTTCCGAAGCTCCCTTGTTTGGGAATGGAGAGGACCCCTGTATGTTACCGTTGTAGATTTCTTTCCCAATGAAATTTGTCCTTTTTTTTGGTAATTAAGTCTGGCCTAACTTCGCTATTCTGTCTTGCTGTGGTGAAGCAGGCTGGTTTGGCACCAACTTTATTTCTTTGTCTTGAATGTTGAAAGTGTCCTTGTTTCTTTTTTCTTTTTTCTTTTTTTTTTTTTTTCCCTTTCTTTCCTTTTCTCTTCTTACTTGAATTCCGTAATATGTAGCATACTTCTAAAACATCCATGTCTTTTTTGGAAGTGCAAGAAATAAAAATGATGTGTTGGGTTTTTTTTTTGTTGTTGTTTTTTGTTTTTTTTTTTAATTAAAAGACAAATGAAAGGTTAAGTATTTGGTTGGGTCCTAACTTGCAACGAACTAAAGGGATGTGTGATTCGTGATGAGATTCTTTTTTTTCTGTACAGAAAAATGAAGGAACTTACATGCCATAATTACCAGCTGCTTGGGGAACCTCTTAGAACCTGTGTGTTGGAAGGCCCTCACACACTTCCACACAGTGATGAGAAAAACACAAGGCTGGAGCACAGCTCTGTTGTGCAGCCCCACTGAACTGCCCATCGATCTGGTTAAAGCTTGGGTAGATTTAATTAAAAATGAGTGGATCATTGTTCGCTTATCTGTGGTGTAGGGAAGTATAAATACTCAGTCTGCTTGATCATGCATCTAAAGGCATCTCAGATCCTTCTCTGGGTGGCTTCTGTTTGCCTAGCTTCTGAAGGCACAATGCTGTATGTTAGCAAGGTATCTGGGGAAAACTCAGCTAGATGTGGGAGGGCTGCTGGTGCTGGCTGGGGAGAAAGGTCTCTTGGGATGTAGAGTCTTTGAAATGGAGTTGTGGTCTTGCAACAGTTTTGTGCCAACAGTGGTAACACATGATAGAACTTGTTTATAAATAAGTACCAAGCTGCTTGCTATCGAGTCTTTTGGCCCTTGTGATTCACCAGGGAAGTATCAGCCTCCAAGTAGTATGTGAAAATGCTGCACAACAATATGAGATTGAAAGGGGCTCAATATAGATTGCAAAACTAAATGCAGAGAAATATCCATCTGAAATTAAGAGTAACAAATCCCTTAATGATAATAATATAAATGCCATAGATATGGGAGTAGCAGCTGTCATGTGTAGCTGGCATGTGGGACACCTTTGCCAGGAAGATTATTCCCATGACTAATCAAGTGACTCCTGCAGTGCATGCAGGCTCCCATGTCACCTATGGACATTCTCTTTCCACCATTAAACCAGCCTTTTTTGCTTGTTTTCTGAAGACTTGTGAACACATATGCTGAATTTTTTGTTTTATCAACTGTGCACAGAAGTGGATGCTCAGAGAACCTCTCAGAGGGAGATGTTTCTAAACAACTGGGCCAACACTTCTTAGATAGGGATGTGCTATTTATTGGTTTGGGAAATAAATATTTGACAGATAGGGCTAAGAGTTCCATAGCAATCTGTTGAAAGTGTAAGCCTTTGGCTACATGGTAACTACTTGTTGTGGAAGTGAACTGGCCTCATCACTATTTATATATTTGAGGTTTTTAAATAATAGTATGTCTTTAATCTGCAGACTAAGTATTGAAAAAGTAGGAGTTTTCTTAATAAATGAACTTTTATGAGCTAAATGTCTGCTTATTGTAATGTGCTTCATGGGTTTCATTTTTTCATAGCTAAACAAATGTCAGAAGACAAGAAAGACTCTTGTACAACAAAGGAAGCTTTCCTTGCAGCTACATATGAGAAATGAGTCAGAGTAGGATTTTGTTGTTTCCATATGACTTTCAACACCATTGCAAGAAAGTTGAGATTGCTTCAAAGAGAATGGATGGAAGTTAAACTTTTACAAGGGTACCGGGTACGTTTAAGAGCTGTTGGTTGGTATTTGAGGGCTGATAATGAAATGTAACCTTTCATCCTTGCAAAGCAGTGATCCAAATTTATCTTTGGAACAAGTCATATTTAAAAATATTAGCTGACATGGTTAAAAGATAAAAATAACCAGATAACATCCTTTTAAAGTGCTCATCTATTGCAGACCCCACGTAGTGTTAGTTGGTTTCTGCATCATCTTAAAGTAGAGTTTCTATTTGGTAGTGAAGTAATTCAGTGGTTCTCTTTTTGCAGTTGATAATGTCTGAGGATCTCGCCAAGATGTATTTGAGCTGGATTCAGTCATCTTGGTATGAGGAGATTGACATCCTTGCACAGAGCGACTCTCTGGCCCAAGGACAGATACCATATTCTGATGACCTATCTGCATGCTGCAGGAACTCTGGTACTGAGCAGGGAGCGGCTGGCTGCTGGCCAGAGCTGATGAGCAAGGCAGTAGCATACTCTGTGAGGCCAATCATCTGGAGTGTTCTGAAACCAGTGGCACCTCAGGGGCTGCCCATGAAGTGCTGCAGCATCTAGCTCCTTCTGTCCCAAAGTCTCCCTTGGTGATAGTTGGGTTCTGCAGGGGCTCTTGGTGCTGGAAGTCTTCCCATCTGTGAAAAGCATGAGCCCACCTGCATGTAAGGTGTGGAGGTGACACGGGCCTGCCACGTGTTATGGAATGATCCAGGGGCAAGAGTGAAGTTCTATAGATGAGATGTCTTGTGAAAAATCCTTGTGTGTTATAAGTAAAGAATCCAAGGCAACAGTAGGTTTTTTTAAAAAATAAAAATAGGGTAATATTTGCTTACAGATACAAGAAATGTGATTTCTAGGTTGGAAGCTGCAGGTGTGCTAGTTGCTGGGGAGTTCGGGGTACTTGCCCTTTCAGCAGCCTGAGTGGTACTTCAGAGCTGAAGGAGCCCTGGGTGTGTGCAGTGGGAGGCAGGGGACCTTGCCTGTCCCTGAGGGGATGTGGCTGTTCCCCTGTTCACACTTTTCTGAAGAAAAATGGCATTCCCTGCAGTCAGGCAGGGTGCCTGAGTGATGTCTTCTGCCAGCATCTGCTGCTCTGGGCCACTTGTGCCAGGTCAGCACTGAGGCCCAGTGTGCACTAGTCCCCAGATGTGATGGCCTGACAAGGTGTCTTGGTAGAGCTTGATGTGGACTCTGTACCCTGGTCCTGGCAGTGGCACAGCCTGCTGCATGTCACTGATACCCTTCTGGTGCTGCTGTGAGTTGAAATCTATGTGAGGGTGACTTATGGGGTACCTTGAGCTGGTGAGCCAACTGGCTACAAAATGAGGTAAGAAGCCCTAGTCCTAAGAGCTGACATATATTGAAGAAAGCCTGAGGCTGACATTTTAAGCTCAGAATCCAAGTCATACTGTTCAATATCAATTATATGGCCTGAAGTTAAAAAATGTTTTCAATATGAGCTTCGTTTGCTTAGAAGTCCCTGTGGGATGTGAACTCTTTTGAAAACCATGCTTCAAAAGCTTACTGTGGGCTTTTCACTCTTCTTCTGGAATGCTTTCTGCATCCTCATGATGCATACCTCCCAGTCACCCAGACCCTGGTGGACTCGCTTTGAAGGTCACAGGAGAAGCAGGCACAGTGTGGTGGTGGCACTGCATGGCTCATGAGTGACAGCTGAAAAATGATGCAGGTCCTTGTGTGTGTTCGTAGATAGGTTTTGAAACCTGGCCTGTCTAGCAGGTTGTTACCAAGATTTCTGTTCCTGAGGATTTGAGAAATACATAAGATGGCACAGATCAGGTTTTTTTTTCTTCTTCCAAATTCATCAGATCAGATAATGAGACAAAACAGTTTTGCATTTATTTATGAGAAAAAGAAAAATTCTATTCTATGCTCATAAGAATTCAATTTCTGTCCATTGCAATTAAAATGGGAAGAGACGCTGCTTTTTCTGATTTGAGGTGCAGATGTGAGGAGCTGGATAGCAGAGCTGAAGATCTGCCTATAGAAATATACTGGTTCATTGTTCTTCACAAAGGATTTTTTGGTACTTGCGTAGCAGCATGCCTTGCAATTAGTTGACAATGGGAGGTCTGATGCATACTGCCATCCAGAAGAAATATGCATAATTTTTCTTTCTTTTTTTCCTAATCAAATGCACATGTTCTGGCATAGTGGGTAGGTAGGTTCAAATCTGCTCTTCTGGCTGGCTGCCGGCAGAGTCCAGAGGCACTGGAACTGTAAATACAGCAGACAAGTCATTTTATGATATCAGACTGAGGAATTCAGCATTGGCAGGGATCCTGGAGTGGTTGCTTTGGCTCCATGTCAAAACTGATGTTTATATGTGTTTGTCAAGCAGGATTAGTTAGCTTGGTTAATTATACACATGAATGTATAATTTTTACTTGACAGTCAGAGCAATAAATGAATATAAACCTGGATATATTGGCTTGCTTTTATTTTTCATCAAATTATTCTCAGTGACTTTTTGAAAGTTTCAAAATATGTTCATTTTCTGCAATCTATCAGCAG